CCATAAATCAACTCGATCTTACAACATGCACAGGTTCATGCAAGAAACTCACTTGGCACAGTACCACTACGGCTATGGATAAGCTTATTGGCCAGGTTACAAGTGAAGATATTAGAACTTGATGGTCAGGCCCTACTACCGTCGAGCATGTAGACCAAAGCATAATGAGTGTATACGTGAACTGTTATCCTATTTACCATTCGCTAAGAAGATATTGATTATGGTGGTATCATTTTGAGCATAGGTAATCATTGTTTGAAATTGCTACAGTCTGGTAGAACTGAAAAACTACTAATGTAGCTCGAAACACAGGGCAGGCTTGACTGGATAGTAGCTCCTTAATTTTACCCTATTCTTGAAACTAATGTGGTTAATTTAAGGAAGCGGTCAATGCGTCCAAATCAGATGCTCTCCTTTTGCGCCTGATCACGCCTGTTGTTAAATTGTACACTGGGAAGATGGTGAGTTTCTTGACAATTTTTGCTTTTACTCCATAAATTTTCTTATTCAGTGTGTTCCTTTGATCTCTGAAGCGATGGAATGCTTTGGTGGTCAAGGATACATCGAGGACACAGGAATACCGACAACTCTACGTGACGCTCAGGTATTTACAGCTTACTCTATCTACTTTCAGTTTTCACCAAAGGTACAGTTCACGATAAACAACTTCACCTTCACGGGCAACCACCTAGATAGGGTGTAGGAAAGGCTTAAAATCCGGCTCAGTCGACGTACACACCGGAAAGGGACGAGTTCTGATGGCGTTATAGGGCCTGCGAAAGATGCACCGTTTGGTCGGAGCGCACACGCTGCATGCAGGCAGTTTACTGTAGCCAGCTTTGCATAATGATACGCACATCTGGACAGCTCGTCCAAATACCCCATCCATGCACCTTTTGTAATTTAATACGACCCCTGATTTTATTCCTTTTTTGGAGCTTTTTATTGTTCTGATTACACAGGTTTTGCGCTTACTCTGTTACTTTTGTCTTATTTTAGACGGTCACTTCCTTTAGTCGTCTAGAGGTAGATACCTCGGAATTGTCGTGAACTATGTCTTCAACTTTTTAAAGGATTTTTTGATAGGTGACTCCTATATGGGAAGGGACGACGAATGTGCTGTCACTTGACGTCCTCCGAGTATTTGCCGGAAAACAGAATGTATTTGATGCCTTCGAGAATCGTATTGAATCACTGCTTCCTTCGCATGGTTTGTCAAAGGAATGTAATGACCACATGAATTTCAACACTACCGATCAGATTTTCAGCGATATCTCAGTTGGCTCAGCCCATAAATGCTGTACGAAAAGCAGTATCGGACTTGGAATCTGTTCTCCGGCAAACTGCCACAAGTGATCACCCAATGCGGTTGGATTCAGGCGCCAGACAGATTGCCTTTGGTATAGCACGAATCTATGCAGGTACACAACTTCTAGTCGCTTTTGAGGTTTTTGACTAGATCAACAAAGAAGAGAGTACAGCGGTGAATATACAATTGCGTGGATATAAGTTTTCGATTACGAAAGTAGCATGGTATATCTGCTAACACAAGTCCAAGTGAATCGGGGGTTATGCCATCTAACCATAAGCATTATCCTTTCTGATAAGTCGGAAGCGAAAAGTTACAATAATAATCAAATTCTTTTACGTGAGAGGGTCTGGGCTGAAATTTGGGCAAACTGCTGCTACGACTGACAGATCCCTTCTGTTCAGTCAGCAATCGTTTCGAAAATGGTCCTGTCAACTTCCATGCTTAGACGACTTCTATNAATTTTCATACCTGAAGTTGTTTAAGCTATTTGGTTAGCTTTGCTTTGACGGAATGTTTTCGCGATTCGATACTGTCGTAATTCTGCTTCTTGACAGCTTTGCGTTCCTTTGATGCTTACGCTATCATCAGTAGTTTTAGGAGCGCTTCTCATTCGTCACGCAAGCGACGTGCATGCTACGGAGAGCGATGTGGACGTTGCGTCAAGGTGACTTATTTCTGTTGTTCCGTTGTGTTTTCCGTTATGGGGGAGTTTCTACTTCCAGCTTCATTGTTAGGTGGCCTTCTTGTTTCTCGAAATTGGGACCTCCAGTTGAAACCAAAAATCGGAAAGAAAAATCGGAACCAAATCAGAATTTGTTAGTCGCGATCTCCTCAATGATCTTAAATCAAGTTGTAGTAAATTATGGTGCTCGATGTCTATATGTAAACGAAAACATCACTGAAAACTGAGGTTTCGATGGGAGACATAGAGCTACAATGCGTGGGACTGCATTTGTCCAGTGGACTCTCCCGCATTCCTCCATATGGTGCTCCAATACTTATTCCCATAGCCAGTTCTTAAATTGTTTTCTTGTGCAATTTTTTTTGGTTGTCATTTAGATGGTGTCTGGAGCAGCCACTAGTGGAACTTAATGTCGAATGGCTAACCGAAGATCGTATTCGACTTGACCGCTCCATCGTATTCGAAAACTTTCCAGAAGGTGCCAGAAACTGCAAGTTGTGACAAGAAGTGCCTTTCAGTTGCCGATTGAAGTATACTCGTTGAAATTTGCTAACCTCTAAGATATAATGCCTCCAAGTATGCTACCTCATAATTAAATGTAAATATATAGTTTTATACTCAATGAAACATTTTTACAACGGTTTATTGATAACAGTTCAACCATAACTTTTTAATGTTTTACTAGTTATGGTTGATCAGAAAGGTAGTAATCTTAACACGATATGGTTCAGTTACACACTTAATTTATCACAAAATGAGTGGGTTGACTAGTAGCAGAATGTCACAGAGGTTAGGGTGATTTCCATTGTGTTCAGCTGACTGTCAGCTTAGATCAGATCCCAGTTCAGCTGCCCTACAGAACGGCGTAATAATGGACTTTTCTCGAAGGCTGGGAAGTATCTGAAAAAGTCTGATTGATGCTAGTAGGGGACGGTGAAGACAACCTTGGACGCTCGTACACCCTAATAGACAATCTGAAAAGATACCTGTAGACGGAATGTTCAGCGAGTTTACAAAGACTGAGAGGGGCGTTTTGGCTTGGGAAATAATTGATTCTGAAATGGTTTGCTCTAACTAAATTACCTGTTGATTGATCCTTTAGTTTTTCCAATTTGCTCAGCTTCAAACAGGCTAGGACATCTTTCCCATCGAGACATACCAATAGGCAAGTAGCTCCGTTCCTATACGCATATTTTGGAGATTGAATCCCAACCCGAACCACTTCCTCATGTCCCTTTGTGACCAAAAACTGTTAACAGATTCGTTGGGCACGAAACAAACACCCATTTCAAGCCTACGGCAATTCTGAAGGTCTTCGATCGTTTCACGAAACTATCCCCAATGAGGAATCGATCGATTAACGCCTATATAAGGGAGACATGCCGCCTAGGAATCGTGATTGATTGATTGGACTCATTTTTTTTACTCATTGGAACGTTCCACCCTGGCTACTGTATATATTCTACGAGTTGCTATGCTCCAGCTCAGTTACCTGTTTTCGACACTAAATTCAAAATAGTAATAGTTAATAAGCAAAGAATTACTTTAGTGATGATCCGAGCTCAGTGGTAATAACCCCTCCGGTTCGATCGCAGTCGATGGCTAACGGATAACTGACGAACGTATTCTCCATCGTGAACATTTTCGGCTGAAACAATGAAGTACGGTCCCTTATGAGTGTTACCGATGCGGCAGTGGTTTCATCGAAGTTACGGTAATTAACCACTTGCAGTTCACGATGAAAATGATTTGTGAGATTTCCTCGCAAGATGAAAGTATGCGTTCAAAGGATAGCACAAAGGACGCTGTCGATTGGAAAATCTCGCAACAAGCAACAAAGGTACCAAAACTGGCTTAGTTAACGTACACACCCAAAGGTGGACGAGTTCCTCAGCTTTGTAGAGGCTTTAGTTGCGCTATTCGCACCGAGACACAACCTTTGCACTCAGGTAGCTTACTGTAATCAGTCAGCTGTACGCGATGACGCTCACATTGTACAGCTCAGTTGAATACCCCTTCCACGCAATCTGGATCATCACATTCCCGTCCAACCCTTAATTTGGCTATTACTTTTTTGAGCAATATATTTCTCCAAACACCCGCTTTCCGCGTTTTCTTACGCGTGCTTTTTTGCACCTATTCTGGGACTATCAATTCCATCATTCGTCTAAAACTAAATACACCAATCGTCGTGAACCATGACTTTGAGTTTTTCCTCAACAGTGCGCAAGTGCGCGTTGTCACGTGCGTTGAACGCCAGCACATCCTTTGGCTGCCTTCATAGTCCACGACCAGTCGCGTGACTGGTCGCGGACCCATCTCGCGAGCGACTGGTCGCTCGACTGATCGCGCCATCGCTCGATCGGTCGAGGAGGCCGCGCTAGTTATGGGTGCCGCCGAGGACGGTCCCGAGCAGGTCGAGCGACCAGTCGCTAGCGACCAGCGACTAGCCGCTCGTGGGGTGGGTCCGCGACCAGTCGCGCGACTAGTCGCGCCGCGCCACTGGTCGTTCGCAAAATCGTGGACTATGAAAGATGCCTTTGGGTACATGAACGCACGCCAAGGCTGATCTGGACTCACCGTCGTGGTTATTATCTCAGTACGGAACAGAGTTTTTACAAGTCCTTCGGTTCCACTCATAAATTTACCTCAATGGGAACTCTTCTGAACTTTCGCGATTTCATGTCCAGACCGTACATACTGAACGCTGGCGGGGGTGCTGTGGTAGGAATCATTGAAGGTCTGAAGTCTACTATTTTGTATGCAAGACCTTTTGGGCTCGATTTTACTGCCCTTACCCGAAAATCCACCGCAAAAACTTCATGTACAGATACAACGAGATGCCATGATCAATTCGTCGCATCCACAGCACGAATCTCAGTATCAACGTGACCAGCTTGCTAAATGAAGCGACAGTTCAGTCGCCTTTCAATGAAATTATTCGTTTTTGAGTCGTAGCTTGGCGTACATGATATAGAGCAGCAAGCTGAGGTAAATCTTCCATTTCCACGAATTCAACTGCGCAAAATCGGAACTGATGATCGTGATCCAGATATTATCGTCGCGGTGACAAACTTGGCGAAGATGTCGAATGCACAGTAAGCGAGAAAATCTGTAGTGTATGTAGTTTCGAAAGTCGAAGCAACCAGTATTTTAGATGAGTACTCTAGCTTCAAAAGCAGTCTCTCATCATACTTTTAAATCCTGCAGATAAGTCCGCCTAAAGGATAATCAGCTTTGGTAAATTTCACATTTATTATCCGTCTAGCTAGGAACTAAACTGATCCAATGCATATTAGGCGAAGTATAAATGTGCAATTCGGAGCTTGAGTGCTCATTATCATTTTCACTTTTGATCACAAACTCTTGATGATTCAAGAGTGCGGCATGCTCCATAAACCCTGCCTGTGAACACGGTCCGTGGATAGAATACCTGATCTGTGCTCGCCCATCCCACCAAAGCCTTCCATCCCTTTGGAGCCAGTTAATTAGTACCAAACTTGTCTGGAAGGTCAAAATCACTGATTTGCACATCTGCTGGCCAATGCAAGCCATTGTATAGGCTACATACATGGGGATTCTAGAGCAGTGCACGTAGTTCCATTTAGCCACTCAAAGGCACAATTCACGATAAAAATGGCTTCTGAGATTTTTCTAGTAGTATGATTTAGAGGCTACTCCTTATCCCATACCTGTCGTTATAAGGGCGAAAAACGTCCTGGATGGAGCACAATAAGGAACCAGAGATTGTGTCGTGTGAATGCCACACCCCTGGTGGACGATTTCCAATGGCTCCGTAAAGGCTGCCCCTCACAAGGGAACCTATCCAAACAAAAAAACAACTTGTCATGACCCATAGCGACACTGAAAGGCAACTATGGACAGTTTTGGCTTGATGTGGTCAGATCTGTGCACGATGGGAGCAAGTTAAATCTCGTCCGAAAACTCCTTACATGCACTTCTTTTCGCGGTGATCTCGTACAACCTCCACTTCCGCTACTTCTAAAATGCTTGAAGTAGCCGGATTTTCTCACTTTCTTCGCCACCGATGTACTCCTTTACATTAACAATTCCGCCTTCTAACCAAAGGGTACCTCAAAATTATCGTGAACGGTGCCTTTAATGCCTCCCTCGGATCATCATCAAGATTCTGCCTCATGTTAAAAGAGTTCCAAAGTCATGACATAATTGTGATTTTTGATTACCAATCATGTAGTGCTCACAATACAGATCTATTATCGAGGGGCATCAGTTTGCACAGCACGCGACTTCCACTTGGATTGAATGTCGCTCGTCCCACAACTGTCGTCTCAAACAAGTCGTATTCTCTGCTGAAATGTAAAAAAAATGCCTGTGATCAGAAATCAGGAGTCCGTAGCCGATGAAAATGTAGTTGCAGGGGACCACTACACTATGTTCTGCCTTCATTGCGCCAATTGTTAAGTCAGATAGGGGTAAAGCGCCTGTTTTGCAGATTTGTAATGGTGTTAAGAAACGATTCTGAACATTTGGAGTTTTTAGCCACCTAAAGAGGGGCAGAGCGCCGGGGTGAGTGAGATGGTGACTCTATGCGAAAAGCTGGTATGGAACAGGAATTAGCCAGGAATACTGTCTCACTGCTTCCAGCTACGTTTTCTCCACAGGGTTTCCCTTCCCAATCGTCGTGCCGCAGATGCGCAATTTCACATACTCTGAGTCAACGACACACGCTTTTTTCACTGCTTCAAGGAAAAGATCAGTGGTCCGAACCTCTTGAGCAGGAACGTCAATCCATTTCTTTCTGCAAGTATCCCAGAAGGAAAAACTTGCAAGTCGGGATCATGTTTTCTCAGGAAGCGTTCGAATTGTCTTATCTAAACCAATCAGTCAGGCTGGATCGAACTTCATGTAAGTCAAGTCGAGATAGGCATACCATGGGAGTGATGTCCTTGTTAGGGAGAAGGGAAGCTTTCAGTGGATCTGCAGCTATCAAATGTCCTACCACTTGTTGATTTTCTCCATCAGGTCCAGCATGTCCTGCGGCCAACACAAAGCCCTCGTCAAGGAGGCCCATACCTATTTGAGTTTAGCCTTTAGAAAGAGGAATCTTATTGATCTTAGCTGATTGTATGCGTACAGTACCAATGCTGAGATCGGAACTGAGTGCCGGCAGTGTAACTGTCCTCTTCACAGTGAGTAGGGCTTTCTCGGTTGTTTCGTTCATAACGAGTACGTACTGTGAGAGATGATAGTTTTCTGGGTTGTATGTGATTAAAACGGCTGAAATTCAAAGATGAGAAGTAGCCGCTTTCTGTCGACTAACTATGGAACGAAGTAATATGGGCATTCGAAGAAACTGGGGCTCTTTATTGGAAAGAGGGAACTTTACCGATATTATCGCTCAGTAAGTAGAAGTCGCTAGCTTCTCGTAAATCGTTAGCTGATATGTCATTGTCTATCTCATAGTTGAAGCTCTGTAATAGATCAATTAGGCTCTTTAATCTGATGGTAGGCTTCAAGGTATAAGCATTGACTGTCTTCTGACAGAAGTCTCTAACTCAGTCTGCCTCGGTGGGCCGTTTTGAGCCTCTGTTGCTCCGAAAGAGGCGAAAATCGCCGAAACGTTAACCGACGGAATTGTATTTAACCTCGTATACTGCTGAATAAATTAACTTGATTGGAACTAGGCCGAAGTTTATCGAGTCGAGCATGGCGTCTTCTAGCAGAGTTCCACTCACGTAAGATAAGTGTTTCTCTGGCTATCTTGAGGGGATTTCGGAAAATACAACTAGCAGGGTTGATGTTTACCTTAACTTTCGAATAAGTACTTTCTTAAGACAAGGAACCCCAAAAAGACCAAACATATTCTTTATCTTGAGCCCCTCAACGCGATAATGCTCTGAATGGGTATTGGTTGAACACACGAAGCCAATATCCGCTCCATTGGGCTCGCATGTCTCCAAAGAGAGCTCGTATGTGTAGGTAAAGCCTAATTTCTCTGGATGTACACAAATCCACCGTATATTACATGTACGTATCGATTGGTTGACTACGCCTTGGGTTCAGTTGGGGTTTGAATTCCCGGTAGAAGGATACGGTAGTCGCCGCGGAACCACTGCCGCTTGTCGTGAGAGTTCAGGAAGGAGTTCCGTCACCCAGACTTTTCACATTCACTTCCCTACCTCATGATTATTAAACACTACTGTTTTCGCTTACCTTGCCGGTACGAATGGAACATCGACAGATCAGCCGTTCCCCAAGCGCTACGACGACTTCTTGCGTATCTGGATCCAGTGATAGCCTCATATCGATTTTCACCGAGTAAATCATCTAAAGTGAAGGATCTTCCTTCTGCTACTGTTGGAAGTTGCAATTCAGTAGCAACATACGTCTCCTCGTGGATTCACAGCGAAAAGCTGTGGGGAGATGAATGCCTCAGGAGCATCGAATTCAAAGAAGAGCTGCCCACCGGAAACTTGGGCTGGTGTGGATACTGAATGGGATCGTCGACGTCTCCTTCTCGAACATCCCCTCCAGCTCGAAATGTCAGTAGAAGAAGGCATAAAGGCGCGACCTACTAGAGATCGGCTTGGTTAGTAAATGAGAGCTACTGAGAATAGACGGCTGGGAGTTGGTGCATATATGTTTATTAGTTTGATACGAGATAACCGATGTGATAGGCGGAAGGTGATCCCAGTTCATTAGTTGAACGATGGAGAATTTCAAGCTTCCTGTTTCAAAGATCGGTTGTGAAGACAAGATTATGCAGACACGCCGCCAACTTGACGAGGTAGGTTCTTGCTGGTCTGGTTTACTAGAGAAACAGTCCAATCTTCTTAGTAAGTGCAGGTGATGGACATGATGCGTTCTAACATCGAAAAACTATCCGAACGAAGTGAAAGATTGGAGGATCTTGCATGTCGTGCCGGTTGGTTTGCTTCTCTGCTATGAAGTGCTCCTGAGTGGCGGAAAACTCAGGGAGTGCAAGTAGCACCCATCTTTATCTTTACCTTTACCATCGTTGCCAAGGAATATCAGGATCCGGATGCGGGAAGTTACAGAAGCCGCATTGTCACGGCGCATTAGTGAGCGCGAGAGAATTCGCGGAATCTCATAAGCGTGCGCTTCGTTGCGCGATTCCGTCGAAACAAGGTCACGCCGCAGCCGTCGCATGCGGCGAGTCGGTCCGCGATACTTGACGGATGTCGCAGCTGTCAGTGGGGCATACGATTTGCGCTTGGTCCACGGCAGTCAACCAAGGATAAGATAACACGGAGAAATGCAAATCACTCGCTCCACTGACACTTGGTGGTACTGTAATGCCATCTNACTGTCCTCTTCACAGTGAGTAGGGCTTTCTCGGTTGTTTCGTTCATAACGAGTACGTACTGTGAGAGATG